TAGTAATTCTAAAACCATCATCTCAAACCCATAAACACAAGCTGGTACCTCTTCTTTACCTGTATGGCCACAACTGCAAAGAGATTATTTCTGAGGTATTTGAGACCATTTTTAAATAGTAAAGCTGAAACTCAAATTCATACCTCACTTTCCAAAGATCAGATTCTTTCTACAACCTACTTTCTTTCATTTTGCATAACTAGTGGAGGACTGGAGAATAAAAATTACTCTGGTTTTGATGAACTTATCCCAGACAGTGTAGTCTTAAAAAAGCAGGCCACCTCTAACTTAGGGTGTCTTATTTTGTTTGTCATTTAGAGGTTATTTGCTGAAAGGACACATGTGCATTTCCACTTGCGGACAAAATTGCCTCACCCATAAGGAATCCCAGAGGCAAAGTTTTGCTCCTGCAAGGAAAATTCTGCTGAGATGCTAAAAAATCCTTTGGTTCCAGTGTATAAGTTGGGGAAGTTTTCGTGGGTATGAATCTAGCCCTCTGACACTCTGTTTAACTCTGAATTAACCAGGGAAGCTCCCCCGTACCCTTGAACTTCTAACCATATTGTAGTTGTGTGATTTCCCAAACATCTGCTGGGGACTCTGAAACCACCACATTCATTTTCTTATGACCTAAGCTGCAATTTAACTCAGGTCTCTGAAGATGAAAGCCAGGGAAGCCTCTGCAGAGAGCAGAACACTTTCCAAAGCAGTTCTCAGCTTGTGGAGATGGGAGCAGCTGGCCTGCTCTCCCTTTCGGGTCGGGGGGGCTTCTTGTTTCCAGCTCCCTGTCAGACATCTGAGGAACCCCTGTTTTTCTTTTTTTGCTACACCCACTCCCTGAGGCAAAGGCCAGCAGTCCCCATCCATCTGTCTGGAAAACCTGGAAAGAACCCTGAAATATTTTGTTTTCAGTAAACTGTCTGAGGTCTTCGGGTATTACAGAAATAGAAATAAATTCCCCGCAAAAGCAGCAGGATTAGAATCAGTCCTTGCTCGCTTGCTTTTTTGTAGTAGAACATGTCATCATTTTTGCTAAATAGTAACAAGGCCTCCTCGTCAGTTTTAAAACAGTTTTGTGGCATGGAAGAGAAGTTTATAAAAACGATACCAACAGAAAACAAAGCTTTAGGTTCAAAGTAGTTCTGGACACGGATTTTTAAGGAATTTGTTGATTCGGCAAACAAATCGAAATTTGTTGATTCATTTGTTTTGGCAAATTTGTGGAATTTGCAAAAACTAAGTGTATTGATGTCAGTGAAATTTTCTACAGAAGGATGTCCCCAAGTCCAGCATAAACTCTCAGGCAATAGATGTCTCAGATTAAGGAGTCAACATTCATCTGGGATGGAGGAAGCCCAGATTTAAGTCTGCTCTCTGCATGATTCAGAGCCTCCCACAACCAAAGTGAGCGATGCAGTCTCCAGACTTTTCTAATGCAGCTCTCAGTCTCTCTTAATGAACTCCTTGGAAAGAGGGCTTGTTTTTAATGTGGAAAAATGTAGAATGTAAAACCTCAAATATTTTCACCAGACAGTACTCGCATTCCTTGGCCAGTCCCAGCTGGAAGTTATTGTCAAGGTTGCTGTTCATCAAAGGACTCGAGCAGAAGGCAGAGCTTTATTCTGGTATTTCTGTAGCACCTGTACAGCGGAGCCCTGCTCCATGCCTGTGGCTCTTTGGTCTGACATACGACTCCTCAGAAACATACAAGTAAATAATATTCAATGCTAATCTCACAAATAGTCCCTTTAGGGCCACAGCTAATATGGTGCACTTAAAGTTAGGCATGTGCTCAATTATAAAGTTATTACTGAATCAGAGGCCTTGTAGGCTGAAAATTTGATTAAGGAGTATTTCAACTTGAGAAAAGCCCCCAGATTAAATGGGTTTTTTTTTCATACAAAGCTCAGACATATCAAATAATTTTGGAATATTCTTTTCACTTTTAATAAGCTTGTGCAAGCTATAAAGTTGGAAATGTCTTCAAATGAAGTTTATAAAAGAGTATACTTTTCAGATTTCAAAGAAAAAGAGAGGTCTGCAGTCAGTGTGTAAAAAATCCAAAGGTTTTTTCCAAGCATTTTGTTTTTCTTAGTCTAGAGTTTTTTAACTTAAGATTTAATTAATACTTTATTATTCAAACCAACCAGAGCATTAAATGAAACAATGTTGACTTAACCTTCCTGTAACTCTATGTTTCATGACAGTTACCCCAAAGATTAATTAGATCTGCTCGACAAAATGAATTTGTGATGTAAGTGGTGATAGAAGTAACACTTTGAGTGGAAGCCACTCAAAAATCCTGTGAAGTGTTACCGTAATTACGTGCCAAAGTCGGCTCTGGTGTGAGCAGAGCTCAGTGTCGACACAGAAGGAGTTGCGCCCGTGTGCAGTGGATGAGATGGTTGCCCCTGACTGAGCCCTTTGGGATTCCCCACTCCTTGGTGGAATTTCAGTCCCCTAGTGAAACTGGAGTCGGGGGTGGGGAAACTGGTGCACTGGACGGCTCGTTCAAAACAGCTCTGGAGAGTTTCATGCCAAAGTACGGTGCATGACGGGAGGGTGTGATGCAGCCGGGGTGGTGGGGTGACGAGAAGAGAGGGAACAGGAGGGACAGTGCTGATTGACTAGTTCTTCTAGGCTCCCTGAGCGGTCAGTGGAGGGAGACTGGCACTGCCAGAGGCTTTGGGTGAGCTGCTCCGTGGTCTGTCTCTCCTGGTGGACCATGGTGGGAAGCCAGGCAGAGCAAACAGCTAACGTAAGGAGATAAATAGGCACCTAAAACTGCACGGTGGAAGTACTTTCTACATCTTCACCTACTGCGTGCACATCTTCCCAGCACTTTCAGTACCATCTGACCCCTTCCAGAAACAAACATATTTTCTTTTTATAATCCTGATATCTTAATTAATAATGAGACCTGTAAAATACGCAATCGAACTTTAATTTTATGAAGGTTTGAGAAGGATAATCCAAAACCTTAATGAAAGCAGGCCTTTGTAAAAAAGTCCCCTCTTTGCCTGGAGGACACAATGTATTTCACATAAGAAGGTTATTTGTAAAATTGGCCGTGGTCCAAATTTAGATATATAAGAATTTGCTTAATCTTAATGAGCTCCATAATGTGCTTACAGGTAAATGCATGTCTAAACACATTGTTGGAAGAAAAAAAAGAAGGCTGAGGCAGATCAAGGGGCTCATCGGACTGAAAAACAACCAAGGGGAGAAATACAGTTACTTGTCACCTGGAACGGTTCCCTGTTGTTGTTCACCCCTAGCTCTTACTAGCCCAATGGAAAAGGTGACGTGGCTCTAGGAGCAATTGGCCAGGGCTGAAGGTTGCTTTACCCTCTTAGCAAAGTGTGTATGGAAACACAGCTCTGAAATCACCCCTTTAAATTTTTCTTTATTCTAGATATGATTAGAACTTTTTGCCTTTTTCTTGACTCTTTACGCATACACGTAAGCTATACATACTACCGCTGGTGGGGAAGTACATTTTTCCTGTTGTACAGAATGTTGACTTTTCACTGAAAAAATCAGTCTCCCTCAGAATCAAAACATTTTCAGCTGAGAACCAAAACTGTTCTAAGTTTTCTTATTTTTTGATAAAAGTCAACATTTTCCATAGAAAGGTAATATTCTTTGTGAGTTTTTTTGCATTAAAAACAGTTTCACTGACATATATTTATACTGTAGAAAACAACTTGAGCACAGCTATTATTTTCTATCTATCTATCTGATTCATTGCTGAGGCAAAGTGGTAATAATAAAGGCAGTCAATACACATGGCTTGGTAATGTCGCTTGGATCTTTGGTAATTTGAATCTTTCAGGAACCACTATATGGACACTAAAAATAATAAATATTTTCAAGTCTTAAATTCAGCAAATCAAACATTAAGAATCATTATGAAAGTAATCAAGCTGAAGTAGGGAACATATCGTGCCACTGTATGACTCCATAGTTTGTTTGCACCTTGAGTACTTAGTACAGTTTGTTCCCCATACCAAAAAGGAGATGATAGACCTGGCAAAGTTTCAGAGAAGAAAAATAGGGATGATTGAAGGTATGGTACGGCTTTCATACAAGGAAAAACTGAATGACTATACAAGGAAAAACTTAATCACTTAAGCCTCTTTAATGTAGAAAAGAAGTCCTGCCAGAGGACAAAACAGTGATCTATAAAGGCACAAGCAGCACGGAGACTGTGGATAGGTATCACTAGTTCACTGTCCTTCCCAGTAAAAGAACTTGGTATCATTAAATACAGCTGGAAGGAGACAGGTTCAAATCCCTCTGAAGTGGGCAGTTGTTCACTTAACTGTGAGTTAAGCTGTGGTGCTCATTGCTGTAGGGTGGTGGGGATACTTAAAGTTTTGCAGGGGTTGAAGGAGAGACTAAATAAATCCACAGAAGAGAACTCTTCTGAGGATTAGTGATGATGTAGAAATTGTGTCTGGTTCAAGAAGACTCTGAGCTGCAAATGGTTGGAAGATGAGAAAATATTCATGGGAATCATCATACATGTTGGGACTTCTTCCTAAGATGCTTTACTAGCAGAGGCAGGCACTAGCAGCAGTGAGAGACAGGATACTGCACTAGATGGGCTGTCTGATCCAGTACCTGTGCTCTTACATGCATTAGTATTCACTGCAGTCCTCTATACAGCTTGAAACGGTGATGTGTTGAGCCTTCACTACTCACTGATGTCCGCTATAACTGACACCACTCAGTACTCACAGGACCAGGCTTTTCTCACTTGAGTTAGAAATACCTGATGAGTATCTATTTGCAAGTCCTACCTCTTGCAAACAAGACATTCAGACTCCTTTCAGTATTTCACAAAATCCAAGAGAGGGAAAACAAAATAACACACAGATTATACACAGAGAGGAGAAAAAATGCCCAAACCAACATTTTAGAAATTACAATTTTTTAAATTAGGAAAAGGAGAATGTCAAAAAAGGTTTTGCTAATCATAATGGTTTGCTTTGTAGGTAAATGCATCACGCCAAGAAACCAAGCTGATGGAAGAATGTGACCAGCTCATTGAAATAATCCAGCAAAGACGACAAATAATTGGAACCAAAATCAAGGAAGGAAAGGTAAAAGCTTTTCTTCTTTAGATCACAAGTAGGTCAACACTGCTTCGTCATGCTTTCGGCTTTTTGACCTCAGGTACTATTAATACAAATTTGTAAAAGTCCTTATGTAGTCCTGGGCTACTGCTACTTTCATGTAAAGAGGAATGAAATATATCAAGGTTAGTATGCTAGACCTCAACAGTTTATTTGGCATCTCTCTTACTACATGTGATTATGATTTTTAAGGATAAATACAGAAATGATGTCACCATCAGTAAATGATAATAAAATGATGACTCATTAGTGATTCCTTCAGTCTGTTATATGTCTGACTGTTCCCCCCAAAGTTTTCACTTTCACAAAGTGTCACAACATTTGGTATCGTGGCTGGCAATTACCTACATGAATAATTTAGTCTAGATACTTTAATTATTTATTAAAATACTATCACATAAAAAAATTGTTTCAATCACTGTCATTCTTGAGAATAGAAAGTTTAACTTATTTACAAAAAAAATATTCAAAAACATGCAGGAAATTAAATGAAGTGTGCATTTCTAATTACTGAGGTACAATGATTATTAGCGACAAACATACTGAGCAGGAAGAATCTCTGATATTCAAATTTCAACACATTTTGCTAGCTACCTGTGAACTCAGAAACACATTAGAGTTGAATTAACGTTCTTATTTTCTAGGTACATGGTGTTTACTCTTTAACTGCTAAACTAAGTCAAATATAAACTCTTCTTGTGTGGGAAAAGCTCAGGAAAGGAATAAATTCAAGAGCAGGTTAAATGGTTCATGCGGCTGTCAAGATATTCCAATTAACTTGAAATAAAAAGCCTGTAGGCAAGAGCTGACTTAAACATGTTTGAAGCCACAGGTCCAGTACGTTGTGTGACAGAACTTGAATTTCCTCATGCTGTTAACAAAATATAATTCCCTTCAAAATGGAAAAGGTGGCCTTCTGCATTATTGTTTCAACTCTGTTTCTCTATGCAGTGAGACCAGCTGTGCTTCCAATGAAGTAGAAAACTTTCCATTCATTTGGATTTGTGCTATATACATGAGTTGCTTTTAAAAAATCTGTTGCTTGCAAAGATGTATTCTAATGTCCATTAGAGCATGAAAGATTTAGAATACAATTGACTCCAAATTTATTTGAATATAGCTGATACCAGAATCTATCCCCATTCTTTGTTCTACTTTGTTCAACCAAAAGTGGTATCAATGGAGGTCCAGTAAAGATCTGGAATGCTTTGCCCCAAATGTTGTATATGTTGAAAGATTTCAGGGGTTTGAGAGACCCATGTGAAAAGCCACAGGGAATTCTGCCCAATGTACCTTCTTTGAAGAGGGCCTGTGGCAAAGAATCTTTCTGGAAGGTAGGGCATGGCAAATTTGTCTATAGCACTGTAGTTATGGCTACAGAGCTGGAAACACTCGGGTATAAAGTTCTAGCTATGGCTAGCAAGGCTGCAGATTCAGACACACGAGTCTGACAATGTGGTGCAGCTCCATCCTTAATCTCACCTAGCACCCAAAACCTATAAAATCCCACAGAGCATGTAACAGGAAAAAACCATTTAAATATCAAATAAATAAGATAATTTTAGTGCAGACATTGTTCCTGCCATTGGAAGGGAGTGGGTGAGATGAGACCTCTTCCTTTTAAAGTTTATCATCAGTTGTCTTCTTGAAGAAGATACAGAAAAGAATCAAGCAAACAAAAAAACTAGTTCATATGTAGCCCTCACAAATCATGATATGCCTCTGATTGCTAAAAGCTCATAAGGTAACATTTATTTGAGTGCATTGTTTGTTTTGTTAATTAATAAGTAAACAAAGAGATGAGCTACTTAATACTGAAATGAACCTCTCCCTGGTTAGACTGGTGTAGACCAAATTGTAATCTCTGCAAATGCACAGTTAGAGAAAACATTATGGCATTAGTTCATCCTAGAAGCTGATCAGATTATTAGCATTATCAAAATCTTAATGCTTTCCCAGCATTTTTCTCCCTTTATTGTTTCTATCTTTAGAAGAAATACCAATGTTACAGGACACTAATCATTTGGCCAGTATTTTCTTTTTGAAAGTTTTCCAAGAGATTTATTTTCCTACTGGTTTCTGTTGTCAGGTAGGTGCACTAAGATACCCTTATCTCTGCTAAGGATGCAGTTATATCTGAAATTCAACTCAGCAACTTCATAGCTTGTGCCCTAATTGCTGAGATTGGGAACGTTACCTTCGTTATAAATTTGGCTATTTCTGCCAATCCACTTGGTTGTGAGTTTCCTCATTTTGCATGTAACTGGGTCTTAATGCCTTTCTAAACTCCAGAATTATTTCATTTCCTTCCTATTTCTTACTCCTGTTCAAACTGTGATCCTGATGTGATAACAATGGGAAGGACTCCCAGACCTTTCAGGAACTAGAAGTTTTGTTAGCCAACATTGTCTTTAGATGGAGGATTGACTGTGCCCCTCCCTAACCTTTCAGCTAATGATTACAGTCACATATACTGTGTTTATCTCCAGCACATGTGTTTGCAGTAATAATAATCAGCTCTCCAGCACTACTGTGCTTTTGTCCAGTTAAAAATATCCAACCAGAAAACACCCTGTTTGACTAAAAGCACATAATGAAAAGGGCAAGCATGTATTGTTAGTAGAATTGAACAGTCTTTTTCTGTCAAGTTTTATTTTCAGATTATTTTTTATGAAACTCACCTCAGTAGTCAGAAAAAAGTAGTTAATCTATAAGATGCCTTTAACACAGATCTCATCACTTCAGGGAAACGGTTATCTAAATAGCCCTTAGTTATCGTGCAAGCAGAAAGTACCAGGAAATGACGCTTCTTCTATTGGAAAATAGGCCAGCTGTGCTTGTTTTGGCTCTCCCCTGTTGTTTTCCATGTGGAAAATATTGAGGCAGAAAGGCTGTCCCTGTCCCCTTATTAAAAATGTTACGTTGGCTAGATGGGGCTCACCATCAAGCTAGTGTGAAAGAAGCTCTTGTCAGTGAAGACATTCATCTTAACTCCCCCTTTGCATTCCAGCTTTGCATCGGAAGTGCAAATGCAATCATGATTTGTGACCTTAAAGATGTGACTGCTTTCTTATGTTTCCACTCAAGGTGGTGAGGTTGAGAAAACTGGCTCAGCAGATTGCGAACTGCAAACAGTGCATTGAGCGCTCGACATCCCTCATCTCTCAGGCTGAACAGTCGCTGAAGGAGAACGATCACGCTCGCTTCCTGCAAACTGCTAAAAATATCACCGAAAGGTAAAGAAGACATTTCTCTCGATAAACAGAAAAACCTCAGTTTAAGGCAGATGGGTTGTCATAGTTGCCGTATTGTCTTGTCCCACCACAAATGTGGTCAGAGAGAGGGGGATGAATTGACACATTTCCCCAAAACACTACTTTGTGCTATACCAGAGTGGGAAGGACCTTACTGTAATGCCAAACCAAAACAGCCCTTTGAAAAGAGGAACAGTCGAAAAAGGATGCACGCACAAATGAAGGAGGTAACGTGGATGCCAAGCAGATATCTGGTGCTAAACAGACTAAAAAAACAGGTTTCTGGAGGCTGAAATTCCTACTCCATGAAGAATTTTGAGACTGAGAAAGAAATCGGGCAGCGAATACATTCCGTAGAAGAAACTTGGAATTATTTTAATGGATTCATATTCTTCACAAAATAGCAAGCGGCAAGGTAACAAAATGTGTAACTTTGGGAACCTGCACCATGCATCTCTGAGGTAGCCCACTCGAAGAGTTGGAGATTCAACAGCTTGGGTGTCTGGAAGTTATGGCAGCTGCTGTGTTGGGTCCCTGGGTGCAGGGAATTTCTACTACTTCTAGGATCCTAGGCTCCTTTTCAGTGTGCCAGATATATCAGGGACCCGAAGACAAGGGAGCAAGTCTCTCTAGGAAACTGTGCTGTCAGTGCAACACTGTGAATGCTGAAACATTACCACTGAATTTCAGCAGTATTTTCTGATGAAAAAATGTTCTGTTGGAATTATCAGCTGTTTAGCCATCAGTCAGAGAAACAAAAAAAAAGGAGAATGTACCTGGACAATGAAGAAGAAAACTATTAAAAAATATGCTCATTTATTCAACTATGTTTTTATCTCTGGGTTCACATTATATCTTCACATTGTCCAGCCAATTTTCACCTAATCCAAAGCATGAAATTCCCTGCTCTTCTTATTTTTTTTTTTAAAGTCTATCACTTACTCTGGAGTGCTGTATGCAGATTCTATGAATATCAGGCTTCACCAAAGCTATTTAATGAATTTATAAATAAGCCAGCAACACTGGGTTGCTCGTTGCAGGCTCAGAGAATTGAAAATCTGTTGAGAAAGGGAAGGCAGGACAAGGCAAAGGAAGGGAAGGCAATGGATTACATTTGATCTGTCAGACTCAGACCCTGGTTTGTATTCTGTCACCAAGCTACATTGTGGCACTTCTTTTTCCCAGCTGAAGCTGATAGTGAAACTACCACATGAGTATCGTGAGCAAAAAGCTGAAGGTGAGGGTCTGGCCTTTTCCCAGTATCCGGTTGAACAAGCAATAGGGCAGAAGCCTGTAGAGACAAAAGCTTTTTAACTGACTACCAGAGAATATTCAGAGAAGCTCCATCTTCACCCTGTAAACATGAACAGTTGCATCATAAATACAGTCACAGGAGAGACACTCGGAGAGCAGAAATGAGACCAGCTGACATATGTGCCCAATCAAATCTAATTCTTGGCTATCACAGATTGCTGTCCGTAATGAGATGGCTGTGAACGCCCTGAAAATCAGAGAATCATTTCAAGCAGTGAATAAAACTGAGGGGAAAAAAACGCCAAGTGCTTGCAGACAAATTGCAAGTGGAAAAAGAGACTAAATCTGATTAATAAATTACTCCGCACAAGTGACTCTCTTAGTTCTCATGCGGTGAGCAATATTTTGTTTACTTCTAGACTGCTCATGTAACAGTCTCACCAGGGCCCTCCAGCAGCTAAAACAGTCGCCTGAAATTATGCTCATTGCATTTCTTCATGCACATATTTCAAAGTAATTGCAGTATAATATTCTCTGTTGTAGGCACAACAGGTAACTATGTATAGCGAAGACATTACATACACTACAGTGATTTAGGTCATGCATTATTTACAGTGGGTGAAATGCATTTATCCTAGAAAAAAACATCCCAGCCAAGTACAGTGTCAGATAGAGCGGGCAGAAGTACAAGAGGAAATTCAGTCCTCTGAACCCAGTATGGTGACATGGTGTTTGAAACTGCGAACTGTTGAGCTCACTGAAAACTGACTTTAGCACATGTACTCACAGTGCACCCTTTGCGTAGCCCCAAACAAAGTCCAAAAGGGCCTGTGATACGGTCTTCTTCACAATAAATACATGCTTTATGGAGGTATTCAAAGAAGCTCTTCTTCTTAGATACCTGCTTGCTCGTTTCTTAGCAAAGCCATTGTTAATTTTGTAGAGATGTTTGCCCTAACACAGGCCCTACAAGAAATGCAAGTCTTTATTTCCTACTAGATATGAAACAGTATAGTGTAACTGCAGATGAACTACTGTGGGGTGGGAGGGGTGGGGGAGAAAAAAAAGAATTGAAAGAACTCAGGGAATTTTTCCCTCTAAGTACGTGGGGCAAAAGGCACTTCAATTATGCTCTCCACAAAAACCCCATCTGTACTATCTGTACTAGGATCTACTTTAAACTAAGTTCTACAACCACAGTTGCAAGAGAAACAGTGCTGAAAACTGTATAACATGAATTATTGACTAGGAAACCTCCTCAGCTCATCTTTTGAAAACTATGCTGAAGACAACGAGATGTGCAGCTTAGTTTTTGACTTTCCTAACTGCATTTTCCCGAAATACTATACAAGAAATATATGAAAACATAGTTTTTAGTAAGCATTTGGCCTGGAGGCATTTGAGAATCTAGAGGCATTTGAGAGTCTACAGAGAAATACTCTGATCTGGGAAACTGTTAATTGAAGCAATCAAAATATTGTGATCTGACATGTGTCATGCGACAGTTAACTGACATACCTTGTGTGCATGGTTGTGTGTTTACCTCCAAACTCAAACAATTAACAAATGAGTTTTAATAACCTATTCACTTAAACCGACCAAACTTTCTGTAAACATATCCAGTATCCAGCTCTCCAGTAACATACATTTTGAGATATCAGGCTGAAGGATCTGAAAGGTACATCCTGATGGCAGTTTTCTTGTGAAAGCTCACCTCTTTAGAATAGTACGGCTGGACAGACAAAAGGTGGATGTAGCTCCTGAAATGAGGTAGGCAAGGAAACTTTTCAGTTTTGGAGGAAATGTAAGTATGCACACATGCTTTGCAGGGAAAAGCCTTTCAAAATAAACTGTGCTGACATCTATTTGTTTTATCTCCTCCCTGTGCTTTTTGAAGTTAACAGCAGTGTGCTGTGCTGAACAGCTGCGGAGGTGTGGGGATCTGCACCAAGCCCTTGGGACGGCAGTGCCAAGGAATGCCTGGAGCAAGAAACTGCTTGGGAAAACAAGGGTTGGGAGAGATGCAGTATCTGTCAGGATTGCTTAAAACACAGATAAATATGGTGCTATTGCTACTTTGGTTCAGTGGGTGACTAGAAAGAACAATTAAAAGTATATTGTTGTTTAACCAATATTTTGTTAAAAACTTATCTGACACTGCATGTTAAGCAAAAGCTAAGTAATAAGAGATTTTTACTGGGGACTTTGCTCACAAAAATAAAAGTGGCAGGAGAAGCTCCGAACTTAAACCGTATAAATAAAATACATGTAAAATTTTTTGACAAGCTTTTTGAGAAGTGATAACAATCATAATGATCCGGTCCTACCTTGATGTGAAAGTTACTGTGTCTTGCGTGCTAAAAGACTTTTTCTTTTCATTATAGGGTTTCCATGGCAACTGCATCCTCCCAGGTTCTAATTCCTGAAATTAATCTCAACGATACTTTCGATACTTTCGCACTTGATTTTACCAGGGAGAAGAAATTGCTGGAATGCCTTGATTACCTTACAGGTAATTTTTTTCTCATGGTGCTACTATTATATGTTCCTCATAAAACAGTGGTAACAGGATTTCTTCATTCCTCTCTGTGGTCAGTTAACTTTGGCTGACTGCCAGGTGCCTACCAAGCTGCTCTCTCACTTCACCTCCTCAGCAAGACAGGGGGAGAAAATAAGATTAAAAGTTCATGGGTTGAGATAAGGACAGGGAGATCACACAACAATTACGGCTACACGCAAAACAGACTCAATTTGGGGAAGATTAATGCAATTTATTGCCTATTAATTGTAAGAGTAGGATATTGAGAAATAAAAACAAAACTCCTTCCCGGGCTCAACTTCACTCCCAACTCTTCTGTCTTCTTCCCCCGAGTGGCACAGGAAGACGGGGAATGGGGGTTGCGGTCAGTTCCTCACACATCATCTCTGCCACTCCTTCCTCCTCACGTTCTTCCCCTGCTGTGGCATGGGCTCCCTCCCACGGGATGCAGTTCTTCACAAACTTCTCCAACATGGGTCCTTCCCACAGGCTGACGTTCTCCAAGAACTGCTCCAGCATGGGTCCTTTCCATGGGGTACAGTCCTTCAGGAGTAGACTGCTCCATTGTGGGTCCCCCATGGGCCATGGTTCCTGGCAGAAAACTTGCTCCTGTGTGGGCTCCTCTCCACAGGCAGCAGCTTCCTTCAGGGCATCCACCTGCTCCAGTGTGGCTCCTCCACAGGCTGCAGTGTGGATATCTGCTCCGCTGTGGTCCTCCATGGACTGCAGGGGGACAACCTGCATCACCATGGTATTCTCCACAGGCTGCAGGCTCCAGTGACTCCCCCTCCTTCTTCACTGACCTCAGTGTCTGCAGGATTGTTTCTCTCACATTTTCTCACTCCTCTCTCTCCCAGCTGCTGCACAGCTTTTTTTTCCCTTTCTTAAGTATATTATTACAGAGGCACTACCAGCATCAGTGATGGGCTGAGCTTTGGGCAGCAGCGGGTCTGTCTCAGAACGAGTTGTGTCCGACATGGAGTCAGCTCCTGGTCTTTTCTCACAGAAGTCACCCCTGCAGCCCCAAACCTTGCCACATAAACCCAATACGCTCTCCCTCTTAATCCTGAATATATTACCCCCAGCAGCCCCAGAATGCCCCAGGAAGGATTAGGTGCTACAGAGGACAACTGGAATGCATTTGCTACCTCCTCTCCTTGCATTCCTCCCCGACCAGGGTGTGAGCAAGTGGGAGTGAGAAATGGTTAAAAGCCACCGCAGCAGAGTGAAATGAAAGAACAGCTGGAGCTTAGCCTGGAGCAGCCAAAGGAGGGAGAGCAGGGACCAAATCCCATTTTCCAGGGGATGGATGCTCCACGTGTTACCCTCTCCCTTGGGGCTGCCTTCTCGCTGCGGCAGATTGCAGCCTGGCAGATTTCCCTTGAGCAACCAGAAGCTGTTGAAGCAATCAACATTAAGGGCTCAGCAATGAAAGATGTTTTCTCATGCTGGTGACACCGTGTATTTCCCCCACCACGGAACTGGAGGACCTCGCCGTGCCTGGAACTAGAGAGCACGCACTGTGCTCCGTGTCAGGGTGTGGGATGGGTTCTCCACAGAGCAGAGCCCCAGCTCGCTTAACTGAGAGCTTTGGCCTGAAGAAGCCCGCAGGATTAGACCCTTACTGAAGGCCTGAGTAATGTGCAATCTCAGAGTATATAATGACTCACAAAGAGAAACAAATTACTGTAATTTAGGGTGTTTTGATTTCAATGCCAGAATTAGAACAATTCATTCCAGTTCAATTGAAAACAGAAGAGACACGGAGTAGGTTTTCATTTTGCAGGGTCTTTAAGCATCTGCTGTTAACAGCGAGAATTTGCAATGAAAGTCTCAAACCACTGTTAGAAAAGCACTTGAAAACGCTTCCTGGGCCTGTTTGCTTAGCCCTGTTTGCAGGAGATATACCCGTGTTATTTCAAAAGGATGTGGGAGCACAGAGTCTTCTCATTGCCAACCACTGGATCTTTTCCATGCAGGGGGCTGATTTCTGGCTTTTCTGCAGGGGAATAAGTGAACAGATTAATACTGGGAAGAGCAAGACTGCATGCACAGGGCAGCACCACCCTTGCGTTACAGAGCTGTGGGGTTCTTGCCATATCTGAAAGACAGATTTTATCTGCAAGAAATTTCTGTATCACTGTGTAACTGGTGAATACAATCAGTGTTTAACACGTACTCAAGTAAATAATACTCAATAATAACGTGGTGAGAGTCACTTGAACTTTTATACAGCACCAGTGAAATGTTTTGGTGTCTGCCTCTCCCCAAAGTCTGCTGGAATTTTGCCACCATGTTGAGTATTCACCCCAAAATTATAAAAAGCCAAGGAAATAAAAGGAAGGATTAAGAAAAAGCCAGGCTCATTTGCCCTAACCTAGGAATCTACCCGTAAAATAATCAGCCTCAGCTTCCTTTATAGTCAAAGAAGAGGAATAACCAGCTCATTTTAAGGCACATATATCAGTCAGTTGACTCTATTCTGGAGGTGCCTGTTTCTCCCAGCTGGCTCCAAACAGAGGCTAGACAGACTCATTCAAATATAGATAATTGTGGTTTACATCTTTAAAGTTATAAGAGGTTAACTCCATCTAGCAGTCTGTTCCCGCACTCCCTAGGTCTTCTCCCCTTTGCACATCCCATTACCAGCCTAATTGCTGTGCACCACAGAAAATGAAGGTTGTATCTGTAGCAAAATGAAGGGTAGTCTTGCTACAGGGTGCAATGGCAATGAAGATCCTTTCTGCAGTCCATCATGCTGGCTGTGCCATTTACACAGCTCCTTCTCTGCCTTCTTCCTACCTCATCCACAGTCTTGAAAAATTGCTCAAATGCAGTCTAAGGGAACTTGTGAATGTATCAAGAAGTTTAGCTGGTTTTTCCTAAGCTACCATTTTTATCCTTGCCCTTGATGCCCAGTGAAGAACAGTTTTAGCTGGCTCTGTCTTTGTACTGTTTTTCTTCACATTAATAAATAGCATATGGCTGCAATGGCAAAATCCAAAACATGTGTCCAAATTATCTGAGCATAAAATACAACCTATGCAGACAGTTAAAATACGTTTATGTAAATATATGTATATATGTAATATATACGTGTATATGTATAGTCCCAAGAGTCAAATGCACTTGATTATTCTCTATTGTTGTTCAGAAACTCTAGAGGAAGATTTATTTTATTTTACCCCTTTCAGATTGATGAATGGAATCTTTGTAGATCTTAAACTGAAAACTGTGTGACAGAGTGAATTGGGCTTTACTTTTGTCATGTTTCACAGTTAAGTAAAATGAAGACCATTTGTAAGTCCTAGTGGTACATCTGTGTTGTGAATTAAGTGAAGAAGCTGATATTATATCGATCGTCTGTACTGCTTCTGAACAAAATGTCAAAGCCTAAATTCCAGCTTCATTCTGTCTGCTGTCAGTTGCCTTCGAAGCAATTGACCTTGGTTGTCTTCTGGAGATTTTCCTCTCCTTTGGTTCTTCCCAGTGTACTATTTGTCAGATCTTCTTCATCCTCCCGCTCCCCAACCCCGGTTTTCTATGTGGCACTTTGAAGTTTGCATCTTTCTCTCTTCCTAGGCTATTTCTTTCCCAAATATAAATTCAACTAGTTTGTGCTTATCATTTACACAGCTGTCTGTCCAAAGCTTCTGCTATCCAAATTAAAATCTCTTGTATCCCTCTGAAAGTTGCCAGCCAGACATTGAGATGTCAAGCTCAGTATAGTAAAACAATACCCTTAATCTTCCTCTGACTGTTCTATCCTCTGTATATATAGCCTTGATATCTTTTGAAGGCTTTCTTATCTTGCCAGTTGCTCAAGCTCTTCATCTGGAACTCATCTTTTTCTAAACATGTATCTAGCTAGATCTAGGCAATGCGTATGACTTGCAAACTCTCTGCACAATATTACTAACATAAGGACTTTTTTTATCCGTTGTGAATCAAAAATACTTGTTCTGTGTCTTAATACTTTGAAATCAATTGCAGGTACATCTATTCTTTGACCTTGCAATTTGCCCTGCTTCAGAAATCCCATCTGAAACAATGATACATTTTCTTCATCCATCACTTTAGCTATGACTGTACTAAGAAATATGCATTGCTTAGCATATACCAGCAGTTTTTTCACACGAAAACAACTTTGTTCTGGAAACCCTTCACAACCTGTCTTTCCTCTTAACTCTTTCAGTATTAAAAGATCAAAAACCACCTCCACCCAGCTCAGTCTCATGCTTTGGGAGTAATCTCTTCTCATTCTGTTGTTTTTGAACAATTCTGGTCTACCCAAAGGCTACGTCTACACGGTCGTATGACTGAGCTCTTGATGCCAACTCATGCATGACATGTTAATAACGCATCAAATTTGTATCCACATCTTATGTAACTGTGCCTTTCAAGTTCCTGCGTGCTGGTTCAGTCTAGTGTCATGATACACCATGGAGCCAGTAACGAACAGCAGAGAGAGGTTCAGAGCAGCTTCCTCAACTCCTTCATGTTCGTGCCAGCAATATGAATATTTCTAGCACCATTAAGTCAAGGAGGTGGCTTAGATCTTTGGTTTTTACTCAGTATCAAAATCAGTAAGGAACCCTTTCCAAAGTCAGTCACCCCAAGCCACCAGGGAGGTGGAGACTGAGCGAACAAAAGGAAGCTGAGGTGGTTTTAGTCAATCTCTGTGACCTTGAGCTGAAAGAATTTAGAAATAGTCTCAGTAGTCACCCAGGAGCCCCCGCCTTCATGCTGGGATTCACCAATGAGAGGTGGCAGTTTCCCTAAACTGCCTCTCAGGTGTATGGACCACGTGAGTGCTTTCAGTCTGCTTCAGAGCAAAAGCCACGCAGATGACATTGAATGGAAGGTGGGTGAAACTAAGCCGGTTGAAAGGGAGTAGGTATACTCACAAGGTCAGTTACTTCTGGGAGCAAATTTAAGAAACTGCTTTTCAAATATTAGCTATTGCCTTTCAGGCACCTCAGATGTGGTTCTGGACTATTTAAGTGCGCCTGCTCAGTTTGGAGTCAAAGTCACACAAATTAACTAAAACAGCCTTCAGCAATTATTTTCACTCTTGTCAGAGAGTGTTGATTCATGAATGCAGATGGATGAAAGTCAATGCGACTGAAGCAGTTACCACTCGCAGATGTTTGCCCTGGTCTTCTATGGAGATTGCCACCCCACGGCCAAGGAGAGCTACAGATGTTAGGAAGCAATTCCTTAAACCGCTGCAGCTTTCAATGTGCCTCGCTAAGTCTGCTGGCACTGATTCCAGGTTCCCTCACTGCTCAAGGCTGTAAATTTGGGGTTTTCAAGAGCTGCTTCAAATTTTTTTCAGCTCTCCCTGACATTGGGTAGCAGTTTGTAGACATGAGGCTGCCAATAGCTGAGGATATTAACAACATCAGCTGTCAAACTTCAGTCTTGTTGCTGTTGCGAGTCAGTGCTCTGTCCCCACCCTGGAATGGACTGGAAGGGCTCATGGGCAATCATTGCTTCTCCACCGGGAAACAGGACCGAAGGGTAGATACGAGGCTTTAAGTCTTCCACTGCTGTGCTGGAAGCGTGCTGGGCTTCCTCTTCCTGAGCAGTGGTGGAGCACACCCCGAGTCAAGGCCACGTGGGGGAAGGTGCTGGTGCAGTCTTGAGATCACTCTGGAGTCTCTGTAGAGCTTTCCCTGTGGCACCTGAGCTCTGTAGCAGTACTACCAAATGTGATAAGCAAATCACACACTATCAAATGCAATAATGAAGATAACTGATTAAGGTCAATCTCTTTAATTGCATTACGGACTTACACTCTCCAAAGGAGTATGTGCTGTGGAATGATGAATTTGGCAGACTTCTACGTTATTTTGAAAGTGGTAACAAACCATTTGCATGTAGACTTGTCTGTCTGTCTGCAGGAGAAGCAGATATATTTTGTTTTATTCTGAGTGGTTTATGAAATTAGTGTTGCTGAAGAGCTGAATTTCATGCACTATAGTCTCAGGTGGGTGTGGGTTAATCACAAGAGCAAGAGAAAAGATGTCCTGCTTAGGTCAAATCTCTTTTTTCTGTCATTCTCATTACATGAAGCCCTGTAAATCTCCAGCCATAAGGCCAGCCAGGTGTGCACATGAAGAGAGAACTTAGGCTGTCATTTTCAAAGGAGTTGAAGACCCTTAGGTGCTATTGAAATGCAGCTCATTAAACCTTCAGTAATTGTTACGTTCCATTAAATTAATATTTATTATCTGTGTTGTAGTTATAACAGGTACATTTCTGAAGTAAAAGGTTTTGCTCTGTTAGTTGCAGAAGACTGAAGAAGACTTTAGTTGAATAGTAGCAAAATGGATCCACTTGTATATTTGTAATTAATATTTTTTTCAAATTTTTTTTTTGCCTTTGAAGGAAGGGCAAAATATGAAAATGAAGCCTCAGCTAGAAAAAAAAAAATAGCTCCTGTAGATTGTTCTGCTGGATACATTTTTGAAATACAGCTGATAGGACTAATGCAGTACTGTATAGCTTTCACAACACTTAGTTGGCCTCTAAACTGCAGCACTAATCTTTCCAGAAGGTTGTGGGGTTTTTTCTCCTTCTTTTGTTTATATTCCCCTCCTGGATGACTCTTCTTATTTTAGTTCATTTCTCTCTATATTAATATCCATCTGTCCCAAGGGTTCCGCTGCTGAGGGAAGAAAAAAGGCATTGGTAAGCTTCCATGCTACAGTATTTAGAGCATCACAAATCACGGTCATATCATGAAACACATCTGAATATTTCCTTATGCCCCTTGGTTGAAAGAGGCTGCTTGGAGATGTGACTGTACTTTAATCCTTGGGAACATACATCAGTAAAACAGGGACATGAACTATAAAAATTCTTAATGGAAAGTAAAATAGATGTTTCGTAAAAATAAGATGTTGCAAAAGTAAAAGTGGAATTCCTTCAAAGGGACTCTTTTGAGGCCATTATTTGTGGCTAACAGAAGTTAAAGAGCTGACAGCAAAAATACCATTCAGAGTTGCCTTCCTTTTCCTTTAAGGAAATATCCACAGGCATTTGTGGTTGTTTCAGCTTGAGTACCCTCCTTCCTCACTCTGTGGCAGCTGGGAGGAACACTATTAAGCACAAGGATTTTTTTTTTTTATGCATGATGGTGGCATGTAGGGAAGATGATTAGGAATGAAGCTCCCACTGAGACAAGCATGCAGAAAGGCTCACCAGTCTTTCAAAGAAAGACTCATTTGTTTCTTATTTAGGTGTTTGGCTTTGTAAAGAATGCAAACAAGGAAAATTTAGACCTAAGAAGTTTGCTTCAAGTTTCACTCCTTTAAATAGGTCTTTAAAACAAACCTGTGTGTTAATATGGGAGAAGAATGTATAGCTTGCTACACAGAGATCTTGCTTGTTGATTAAAAAAGAAGAAACAGAGGGACAACTTTTAATTAATGTGTTTGGATTGTTTTCTAGAATTATTTAATTAGCAATGACATTGAAGATTAGGTTGTAATAGTCATACAGTCATGATGTTATGATAAGAACTCTTTATGTAAGGCTGGAAAAAAGTGAGTTGTATAGCCAACAGAAATTATATGCATCTATATTAGAAAGGATAGCTAGGAAATAAATAAAAATGAACTTGCAGAGAGGAGAAGATTGAGCATGAAAACATGAGTGTTTGGAGGCTTCCCCAAAATTATATTTTTTAAATACCACTTATGCCAATCTCTGGTAAGATAGGCTAGGCAAACACTGCTTTCAAGTCAACAGTGAAGCGTGTTGACTCTCCCTCTTGATATACGCATCAATGAAACTTTGATAATTTTGGAGTGATGATCAGAAACAATCCTAGAAAAAGTAACATGTCAATTGTACCCATTTAATCACAGTTTAATGTGACCACCAACACATCACTTGTGCTAGGGCGTCTAAAACTAAAACTACTTTAATAAAAAATATTTTCAAAATCTGGAGTTCCCAGGTGGTTATATTGATAGTAAGAATACCCTTTACCTTTGCAACAATTTATTGATAATCAGAGTTACTACTGGAATTAGCAAAAAGTTGTTGAAAAGTCTTTTGGATGGTATAGCTACAAACTCATACCTCAGATGCATCCCCTAATCTCAGGTGAGAAGGGAGATATTGTACTGTGTCAGTAAGCCTCCTCTGTTGTATCTCACAGCTCCCAACCCACCCACCATTCGAGAAGAGCTCTGTACAGCTTCTTATGATACCATTACGGTCCACTGGACGTCGGATGATGAGTTCAGTGTGGTCTCTTACGAGCTGCAGTACACCATCTTCACTGGACAAGCAAATGTTGTTAGTAAGTATAAACCTTCTCTTTTCTAGTTCTGTTTCCTTATGGTTTCTCTGTAAACCAAGTGCCTTTAAATATAAATGTAGGAAAAAAATATTTTCTAGGAAGATTTAAAGCCAAAACTTTAAATCCAAACCAATAATAATTTTGAAAGGTTTTAAAATTCAGAATTAATTCAGTTAAAATTTCTTTAACTGAAGTGCCATGTAGTGGGAGCTTTTGAAGTCTAAAACCAGCACATAGATCCAAAGGCACAAGTATTGCCCATGTTAACAGGACTTGTCTCTTGCATCCTAGGTCCCTTGTTGCAGATGTAACAGGGACAAAGACCTCATCCAAAGGGCTAGTCAGGCCCTTGGGAGCCTATGCTGAACTGGTCATTAGTTAGACCTGCAGCCCCGTTATCATTTAGATACCCTTGACAACTGGACCTTTGTCAGAAATACAGATTAAGTCCTTCCCTCTGATTTTTACTGTCTTCAAGGCTACAAAGCATAGGTCTCAGTTAGTATACTGAAGGCTAAGGCAGCAAACATCAGTGGAACAACAATTAATATGGTAACTTTGTTGGACTTACAATGACATTAACAATCATTGCTTTATATTTTGTATTGTAGCACATTTTTTATTAAATACACTCTCTGTTTTGAATCTGTGACTTTCCTTAATGAACAAACTTACTGTTTATTTCTTGGATTGTTTTGTTGTTAAATAACTATTCCTCCGAGAAAACGATATTGTCTAATCTTTGGCCAGGAAGTCAACACTTCTGGGTTCAGAGCATAGCCATCATTGACTATGACTTTGGAGAAGTCATTTAACTTCTTCCTGTTCCCCGTATGTTTAACGGGAATACCGCTAGCTGACACATACTTGCTTTATGAAACAAGGATTCTGAAATGAACCAAATCAATCAAAAGGTGGAGTTTGTTCAGTCAACATGTATTTAAATTGGGAATTCATTGCCACAGAGGGTTGTTGTGTTTTTGAGTTCAAGAGATGACTAGACAGATCATGCAAGAAAAATCCACTGAGAACAATGAATTGTAGAGACTTCCTCCTGGCTCAGGAAGTCCCAGAGCTGGAAGCTGTTGAGGCCTGGGACAGTGTGGTGAGAAATGGTCACTGTGGGCTTTCCCTGTTCCTTAACACCTTCCTACGCTCTTGCTTTTGTCCACCATCAGATACCCTGGCCATGCACTGAGCTAGATAGGCTTAACTCTGACCCAGTGCAGAAGTGTTTTTCTTCTTACACAATTTGTTGAGATACTTTGATGAAAGCCAGTGCTGTGGACATGTTTACATGCTTTATGTTGTGGAAAAATGGTATGGTCTATGCCAAGTTTCAGTACTGAGCCAAACTCTTGCACTGACTCCTCTGTTGCTGTGCGCACCTCATTTTCTCCATCCCTAAACTGGAGTTAGTTTTCCTATCTAAAAGGATATCTGAGGATTCATGTGCTGGCATTTTAACACCATTTTTAAGTAGCATACTGTGAATATATTATTGTATTCAGGATTGACTGAAAAATAAGGTGGACTATTGAAAATTTGATGAGTGTTTTGCCAAAACCTCCATTTAGTATTTCACTAAACAGCGTAATTTTGGACAACACACTGTAAAATTTAAGACTGCTGGAAAGACCGAGTAAACTTCAACACATGCTCCTAGATCTGAGGAGGCTGGATAACAAAAAGGTCAAACAGTAATTTGGAACAAATTGGAGCAAGGTAGATAAGGAAGGAAAATCTTCCCTGATTAATCACTACTAAGCAGACAGGTCTTAATGATAAGACAGTACATTGCTTGTTTTCTAACCCATTTTTATCTATGCGTTTATGCTAGAAGACTTTACACAAGTTAGTTATTGGCATTACGTGTGAACACAGCAGCAGAAAGGTGTGCCATTTCCACACCTTTGTGATGTGGGGTTTTACTCTTTGCTTACTAGTGACTAAATAACAAGGTATTTCATTTTTAGGTGTTGTAGGTTTCCCATGTGGAGATGGAAGCTTTGATCTGCAAAACATGTATCAATTAGTCTACTTTCAGAGATGCAATATGATAATTTTTGGGTATAGCATGAAGTCCTCGGTGTGCAGTCTGAACTTTGCAAAAATGGTGTCATTAAAAGTTTGAAGAGAAAATGAAGTAACACTGTAAGAAACTTTGTTTACAAAATGCTCTGAAGACCTTAAATGACAGCAGAAAGAAATGAAAAAAAGAACTGGCCCTTTTGCCCTTTTTCTTTCTTTTTTTCTTTTTTTTTTTTTTTTTGAATGCAGCTAGCTCTTACACAAAAATCCTGGCTGTTAGTTTCAATTTAATTGAAAGCTATTAAACCCAAATTAAATACATGCATATATATTAATTGAAAGCTATTAAACCCAAATTAAATACATGCATACATAAGTATATGTGGAAGGGTTTTCTAAATGTTGTAAAGCTTTTTTTTAATCTCATTATTTAATGTAGACTTGAACACCTCCAATGGAGATGTTCCCGCCAAATCTAACTGCTACAGATCTGCCCAGGTTTCTAACACATCAAACTCTCCCAGCTCATTCCAGCTTCCACTGGTACTGGACATTTGCCCACTAACATCCTGATTTTACTCAGAACACTGCTTGGATGTTTCTTCATTTTGTTGGATTATGTTCTTTGTCCTGCAGAGGGGTCTAATATCCGAACTTTTATAAATTACTTTCCAAGATTGTCCCTATAATATCGGGGTGTACCTTAGTAGTGTGGTTGAACGCAGAGAGCTATTTTCACTCTAAGTGGCGTTAGCAGGCGCCGCACTGCAGCCTTCATGTTTTGATGAAATGAAGCTAGGTGTTGTGTTTTTTTTTTTTAAATCCTGTTTTAATGGAATAGATTTTGGATTAGCACAAATTTCTTTCTATTTGTGGCATTTGCATGCTGTTGCACATAATTTTTTTTTCAATTTCTCTGTCATATCCCAAAAAGTTTCCATTGGTATTGTGTGTTGCCTGTAGCAGATAATGTAAACAGATTCATAGATTGTCTTCAGTTCTGTGTTTTTCTAGCTATGAATTAGTCACGAGGGAGTAGCTAGAGTACTGCATTAAACCAACATGCTTTTTTCCCCTGAGACAATAGGAATCACTTTGCATACATACCCACCTACCGTGCTAATGGAGGCTGTTATTTTGGAATCCGTTTCTTAAAACCACATAGCCAGACTGACTGCACTTTCCACTCCTCAGTACATTTCCCCCACCAGAGGCATATATCATTCAGAGATTGCTAAGAATTCAGTAACAAAAACAAGCAATGCTAAGTTTTTCTAGTGTATTTTCTATCCAACATAATCAACTATATTCTTTTTTATTAACTGAAAAATTGGAGAGTTAACATTTGATGGAAAAGGTCCAAATAGAGTATTTCATTTTGAATCCTATTTCATACAGGAAAGATTATTTCCAAATGTGGCCAAACTGCTTGGCTATTAAATGCTTGGCAGCCCTGTTCTGTGCATAAGAGCAATACAGAACTTTAAATTAAGCTGGCTTTTACTAAAGCAGTTGTTCTCAGAGTTATACCGTTCGCACATTTGCATTTCTGAGAGGCAGCTAATCACCTGCAATCTGAATATTGTAAAGGCTTTTAAAATTACTTTGTCACTAGCTAGCTAACATGCATTATAATTTCATTATCCCATTTCAATAAATTTTCAAGTATTTATTGAGTATGCATTTTTTTAACATCATGGAATTGCTTTAGTGTGCTTCAGGAAGGTTAAAATTTAAACACCCAGCTTTTTACTAGCTGCAATACAAGATGTCTTCATGAAAAACACATCTCCCTCTTCAAGACAAAAAGCAGTAAATAATTCTCTCTTTCCTGGTAAATGGAATTTAGGTTAGTTAGTTTCATTGGCTAAATACTAAAATTCACTGTATTAAGGATACAGTGTACTGTCAGAACCTTCCCAGTGTTACATGGTTACTCTTCCTATAAGATAGGATAAAATTTTGTTGAAGGCTCTAAGACAATTAGAAGCCCAAGCTTCCATGAAAAACAGTGAGTTTTTGATTCACCAATTAATTTTTGAATATTCTATCTTGTGTCTGTTTCTGGAAGTTTTAATATATTAAAAACAGATTCCTTACAATCTTCAGATTGCTACTGAGGATTTTAGTGAGTATGTTTTAATGGCACAAAAGCAGGTTTGGGATAAAACCAAGAAAACTTCTGCCTCTTGAAGAGTATAAAAAGAGTGTATTTCTTAAAAAAAAAATGTGAAGTCTTTTGCAGAAATCCTGCGTCTATTGTCTTTCACGTGGGAATGCAGAGTGGGGGTGGAGAGCTATCTGTTACCTTCACCTACTGTATTTGTTCTACCAATTTGAATTGGTAATAATTTATTTAAATAAAGCATTTTAAACTAATTAAAATACTCAAGAGATTAAATAACCTTCCCATGACTTCTGTGCTCTGTTTCCAGTTTTCAAGAAGATATATTTTATTAAAATCTACCAGTGTAAATTTTAGGAGGATTTACACCTTGGGATTTTTCCCATCTGTTTCTTAAAGTGCATCAGCAGCCAACACCAGGGAAATAGCTTTACAAATTACTACCTCCAGACTCTGAGAAACTTGTTTTGAAAACTCACGCATCCTGTACGGACATCACTGTGCTCACTGCACCATTCCAGGATGTAATTTAAATTCTCTACATTTTTGTAGGCTACAGTTTTAAAATACATTGTTTTACCACCTGCATTACCCTGTAAAAAGCCCTGGGTTTTTGACACAAGAAACCTGAATGTAGCCGGGGTTAGGAGTGGGTACAATAGGAGACCCTTAGTGAGGAGAAGATGTGTGCTTTTCCACTTAACCTGCTGCCACCGGCAGGGAGCTGAGAGGGCAAATGCTACCCCTGGATGCCCATGTTACCAGGCTGCTTGCTCAGTTCCCTGAACTTTTTTAATCATCTCCTTTTGTATTCAGAGAAGAGAGGCTGTCCTGACAGGGCATAACTGGAGAAAGGTTCTTTCGATGCAGTAACATACCTAAAAGCTCAACTTGGCTGTCACTAGTTACTATTCTCTGTTTTGAAGGATCTTGGACTTGCAGTTTGACGTCATCAAAACTTCATTCCCAAGATTTTTGAATCAAAGTTCAATTTAAAGCCTGTTATTGAATACCTCACAGTCAGGAAGCACATGGACACTGAGCCCCTTGGTGCATAGGCAAAAGCTGAGCTTGTTGGGACAGCAAGGTTTGTCAAGCAAAGTAACTGAGTCACTCACTGCACATCCAACATTCATTGTACACCGGTAGTCTGGGATGCCTAAGACTGGACGGACAAAGAAAAGAAACCCAAGGTATCTTGTGTCATCAAAGAGGATAGAGCCTTCCCGTAGAACATGAATCAGGTCAAACGGAGGGTTCCCAACTCTCTCTATTGACTGTGCAGAGAGTTTAGGGTAGGTAAGGTCCTAACTCAGGAACTCTGCTCTTTGTTCAAGGTCAGGTGGGATGAATCTATACCTGCCTGCGAGCGTTTTGCCATTAACGCCAGCAGCAGAAGCCAAGATATAGCAATACCTAAAATTATTGTGGCTCTGCCTTCTGTACACAGAAATCTCAATTAAGCATTAACTAGATTATTTAATAATATAATAATTTACCTTGTGTGAGTATGTACAGACTAGTGAGTATTGGGTATGTATAAATCCACATACACAGGAGGAGAGGATAGACTGGAGAGGAGACTCATAGCAATGCATCTGTGCCTTTACAATCCTTCATATATTAGATCCAAGTTTTATGCTTTGTTAAGGAGCTGATATCAACCTTTGGAGGGTAACATAAAAAGTGTAATGCAAGCCTGAAAAATGTGCCCTTTAGAGAGCTGTAGTGACTGATATAAATCTAGTTTTGAGATGATTTAGCAAAAATCTGGGCACTTTTGTGTCTGAATAGGGTTTCTTTATATATGGCCTATGTATACCATCGACCTTTGCTTCTGAAGTGTGGTTGTGGAAGGAGAAGACACTTCCAGGACTCCTGTCTGGATTCATCCCACTTACTGTCATATGTTATTTGATACCCCATCAGAGGCATCTGAGTTAGGGATTCCTTGGTAATCCTGGACTCCCTCTCAATCCAATGCTTCATTTTGTTTTATTTTAGCTTAACACTTATTTTGCAATAGCACCTATGAGCCAGATTGTGTTGGTTTTGGCTGGGATAGAGTTAATTTTCTTCACAGTAGCCAGCAGGAGTAGGGAAGTGATTGTGCTCCTGTACTCGGCACTGGTGAGGCCGCACCTCGAATCCTGTGTTCGGTTTTGGGCCCCTCACTACAAGAAGGACATTGAGGTGCTGGAGCGTGTCCAGAGAAGGGCAACGAAGCTGGTGAAGGGTCTGGAGAATAAGTCTTATGAGGAGTGTCTTACGGAACTGGGACTGTTTAACCTGGAGAAGAGGAGGCTGAGGGGAGACCTCATCACGCTCTACAAGTAGCTGAAAGGAGATTGTAACAAGGTGGGCGTCGGTCTCTTCTCCCAAGTAACTAGCAATAGGACGAGAGGAAATGGCCTCAAGTTGCACCAAGGGAGGTTTAGATTGGACATTAGGAAAAAATTCTTTACTGAAAGAGTGGTCAGGCCTTGGAACAGGCTGCCCAGGGAAGTGGTTGAGTCACTATCCCTGGAAGTATTTCAAAGACGTGTAGATGTGGCGCTTAGGGACATGGTTTAGTGGGCATGGTGATGTTGGGTTGATGGTTGGACTTGATGATCTTAGAGGTCTTTTCCAACCTTAACGATTCTATGATTCTATGATTCTAGTATGGTGCGATATTCTGGATTTGTGCTTAAAACAGTGTTGATAACACAGGGATGTTTTCGTTACTGCTGAGCAGTGCTTACAAAGAATCAAGGCCTTTTCTGCTTCTCCCACCACCCCACCAGCAAGTAGGCTGGGGGTGCACAAGAATGGACTCGATGATCTTAGAGGTCTTTTCCAACCTTAATGATTCTATGACTCTAAGAAGCTGGGAGGGGACACAGCTGGGACAGCTGACCCCAACTGACCAAAGGGATATTCCACACCATATGACATCATGCTCAGCATATAAAGCTGGGGGAAGAAGAAGGAAGCGGGGGACGTTCGGAGTGATGGTGTTTGTCTTCCCAAGTAACTGTTACACATGATGGAGCCCTGCTTTCCTGGAGATGGCTGAACAGCTGCCTGCCGATGGGAAGTAGTGAAGGAATTCCTTGTTTTGCTTTGCTTGCATGCATGGCTTTTGCTTTACCGATTAAACTGTCTTTCTCTCAACCCACGAGTTTTCTCACTCTTACCCTTCTGATTCTCTCCCCCATCCCACTTGTGAGGGGAGTGAGCGAGCGGCTGGGTGGGGCTTAGTTCCTGACACCACGACAGAGGTAAGTGATGGTCTCAATGCAAAATCAATGTGGTAGTTCAGCTACAGAACAGTTGTGCCTTCACTCTAGTAGCTGTGGCAGATTTTTATTGGGAAAAGATGAGGATTCCTCTGAGCAGTCAGTGAAATATTTTATGCTAGGAAACTGCTGCTTTTATTTCCTTTCTTCCTCTTAGGAAACCCATTCACATCCAGGCTAAAAAAAATAAATATAATTCGATAGGTATGGTTCAGTGAAACAAGATGTGGACCGATGTTGCTATGAGCAGTTTACTACAGGTGCTAGGCACGACTGGGGTTTTCATGGCGTGTAACACTGGGTTCTTTTTTTTCAGGAGGTAGACAGATGATTGCTTTATATGATCTAGTTTTTCAATAGTCTTGAGAAAAACAGTGCTGCAAGGTTGCTTTTCTTTGCTCCTTCTATCCACATATAGCAAACTCTTTGAATCCTTTGTAGCTGATATTTAGGGAGGCTACATGTGGTCAGGATGCTCACTGATTGGAGCATAACGAACATCCTAGAATTCTTTTTTCCCACTTTACACCAGGAAACTGCAACAAAGAAATGTTGTCATTCTGGTCCAAAGGCCACGACCCACGTGTGAGTTCAGCCACAGGCTTAGACTTCCAGACTTCAAATCAGGGTGGTGGTGGGGTTCATCTCACCTCATTTCAGATACCTGAAGTTAGAGATCTCACCTATGCTACTCACCTAGGCTTCCTCTGTGGCCATGAAAAGAGAGACACTTGTGGTAGGATGTTCACACCTGTAGAAGTGACAGAAACTACTCACTGATTTCTGCCTCTCCTCAGAGTCCAGAAAAATATGTTAGGCATTGCAGCTCTTCATTAGATGACAAGGTGATATGAGTCCCAGCTGAAACTGTGCCTCAGTTACCCATTTGCACAGCAGGATGAATAGCTGCCTACCTCTCAGGGATCCTATGTGATATAAGAGGACTTTGAGACAACAGCTACATAATTCTTAGACTGAAATTTGGGATATGAGTTCTGTTTCTAATGATCTTTTGTTATGAAAAGCACATCCCAAATTAGGAAGGAATCTTCCAGTATGATTATGAATTGTCTATGAGTCTGTAAACCCATATCACAGGTCTTTTCTTTCAAGTTTTGTGTCCAGTAGCCTTTTAATTTTTACTTTACATGAAGGTTTTGTATTGCCTAGTATGCAGAGCTGAAATTACTACTGACTTCTAAAAGATTCTCTTCGCCAGTACTTACTGGTTTACTGGTAAAACATGAGTTAAAAGCTGAAAGCTGTTTTTTAATAACACAGTAGCTTTCATAACATGTTCTATGCCCACTAAAGGCAGAGACCAAGAATTCTGTCAGGTTCCTAATCCGATCAAGCATTTTTCTTTTTGAAGTTTGTCAGTCTTACATATGCACACACATGCATATACTTCCATCTGCATATATCTTTTTCTAGCTGTATAGCTATATAAAAGGTTGTGAATAGATATACTTCATGAATGTTAAATTTGTTATTTATGTAAACATTTGTAATAAGAGAGCTGTCAGGCTGGGGATCCATTAAACCCGGAGCTGTTCAAAATGTACAGTAAGTAATATGGGTGATTGACTGCCATTGCAGTTATATCACGGTAGGAAAAATTTATGTAGATGAATAAATTCATCTCAGTGGAGTATTTTCCTGTTTTGCAGATGATATTGCTCCTCCCTTATTTTACTTACTTCCTACATATTATACATCTGTGGTAGGCATCAAACGTACCCAAAAACATTTGTAAATGGAACATTATCCAACTCTTCACCAGCTGACATCTAACCATGAGGACATAAATCAAAAAGTTGCATCCATTAAATTTACTGGCTTAGATTACATCCTGGCAAAGTCTGGAGTGTAAGAGCCAAAGCTTGCTCAGGAGTCCACGCTCTACCCTGTTTGGCCTCCCATGATTTGCTTCACGTCTTGAAGAATGCATACCTGGGGACTGTCAGCAAAGGTGCCTCCCCAGCCCTCCTAGCTTTACTGCTTACGTTAGTTTTCTGAGGCTTAAACTGAGTTCATTAATCCAAACAGTAGGTTGATGGGATCTCCATAATCCTCTAGTTCTTAAGCAATAAAGAATTCCTTGTGCTGGGATATGAAAAATCTCAGACTGCTCATGCCTCCACCGAGTCGTTTCTTAAATGTCCATTTTTTATGGTTGACTTCACATAGCAAGAACTTAAAAGGTACCTTGGCTGAGGGCGGATGGAATGAGTTAGTGGAATTAAGTAGCGACTCGGTAAATGTAACAGCACTTTAAAAGGTACAGAAGCAAAATTCATATCGGTCGTTGGGTGCTCAGGAGTGCTCTAAATGTTTCTCTGTTACAAAGTGTTTAGTATGTTATGACTAATGTGCTCTGTTTGAAATTGCAGGTTTATGCAACTCAGCCGACAGCTGGATGATTGTTCCCAATATCAAACAAAACCACTACACAGTGCACGGGTTACAGAGTGGCACTAAGTACATCTTCATTGTTAAGGCCATTAATCAGGCGGGCAGCAGAAGCAGCGAGCCCGGCAAGCTCAAGACAAACAGTGAGTAACGTGAGATCTGGCACACACGCATTCTTCTCCTTTCTTGCCTTTATTTTAGGTTGGATCTTTGGAAGATAAAAGAGCGCAGAGCAGCTTAACTTGTTTAAAGTGCTTCCCACAATGAAAGCTACTTATTTAACTCGATCCAAGACTGCCAAAGTCTTCAGTAGGGCAGAAGTTAGTTTTTTTTGCGAGATGCATCTGTAGTTTGGTCACTGGAAATATCATTTAGGAATAGAGCCATCACATGTGAAATGATTGAAAATACTCTTTTGTGGTTTTGTTTTAATGTCCTCTCTATTCTTTTTCCTCTACAAAGCAAAACCTTTTCTTACATTTGCAATAAAACATTTCATTTTTGTATAATGTTCATAAGATAATTGCTAGTTTAATTTTATCCTCCAAAATGATCTCTTTCTTAGGACACCAGAATACTTTCTTAGCTCCATCCTTCTCAGTTTTTTGTGGAGTTCAACAAGGTGGTAGAGTAGTCAGAGATCCCACTTCAAAAAAGCAATGGTTACACAAATTATTAGCAGATGTAGTATAGCAATTTTAAGACTGGTTTGCAGCCTTTTTCTTCTCATGTCCCAGCCAATCCCTCAGTCATGTAGTCATCACGGGCAGCTCCGAGCACTGGAAAGGGAACACTGAGATTTGTGCGCCCTCAGAAACCTGCTTATTGTAGGGGAGGGTGCTCGAAGAGGGGAGATACTGAATGTTGCAAGACGGAGGCTGCAGGGAATGGCACGTACACGTTTCTCATTTTCCCCTTTCTCCTATTAACCTGGCTTGCATTTCTGTGTAAAAGCTGCTCATACAAACCCCACATCTGCTACCGAGAATCTGCTTATCGTTAAACCTGGTAACCTACAAGCAAACGCATAACCAGAGGACCCATTTGGAAATGGCAGTCTTTTATCCTTTTGTCTCTTTGTGACCCAGTGTGGCACAAAAGCAATCTCCCAGGTAACTGTGAGAAATGATGTGACCAGATACACTTCAGTACAGAGAAGGACATCCTTCAGACACTGCTTCAGCAACATGAAGGCTACTAACCAGTTAGAGAGGCATTTTACTGTAGGCATTTTACTGCTACCGTACGTGTTTTACTGCTACCGAGTGGTAAGAAAAAGCAGGTAAAATGTACCTTTCTTTCCAATACTTTCCAATGGATTCATTTTATATTTGATCATAATGCATAGCTAAATACACATTACGAAAGTAGATGATAGCTCTAAAGCTGAAAGTACTCCTTATCTAATTCCTGACCCATGTCTAATAATGTTAATTGAGAATTAGTATTGCCTCAATCACCTCCCATTTTAAATGTCTGCATTTTCAGATTGCCTAGAGATCTGAACCAACACATATTGACTGTCACTGTTCAGATTAACATAATGTCTTCTTTCCCCCACATTAATGCCTTCAGGTTTACTGCATGAGAAATGCTTAACTGTTCCTTCATAAACCCTGAACAATTTACACCTTATTTGAAGTACACGTGTCAGTGCCTGACACAGACCTCACGAGAGTGCTCATTTCTGTTTTCTGTGCATGTCATCAAATCTTCCGCTTACATTTTTTTTCACCTTGATATGAAAGACAGTCAGAAGGGAAAAGGGCTTTGCTGGACCATTCATGGAGTCACAGTTTCCTAGTTGTCTCCTGGTGGAGGTAAATGATCGTTCTGCTTTTTGACACAATGAGCAAGCCTGTCAGAATTGTGGCAGGCTTTATATACCTACAGGGTTCGGTTTACCAAAAAGCTTCCTGTTATTTTCTACAAACCTTGTGCTACAGCCAAAGATACTTGCCAAGAGCAACAGCCTCAGTAATGTTTTTACACCATACTATTTGGACCAAGTTACAGTTCACTTCCTTCTTTTTAATGCACAGTATCCAGCACCACATGGGCATCCTTCCAAAGTGATCCTGAATTGTTGACTGTGCTTGTTATAAATAAAGCTGTGAGTGAACAAACAGACAAGGCTAGTGCTGCTTCTTATTTTCAAACTCATTTTGTGGGATTTGAAATCATACTTTTTTGTAGTAACGATGAAGATGTTATTGTGGAGCTTTATCCCTAGAGAATTAATATAACGTAACGTATTCTAAATCTAATGTGCTGTGAAAAAAGCAACCCTCAGACCTTTATTAGCATGTATATTGGTTTCAATTACATGCAAGAATTAGAGTATTCAGGTTACCTCTAGGTCAGAGATAATGGGCATGATGATTATGCAGGGCTCTTTTCAGGGATTATCAACACGGGGAAGTTAGTGCACAATGAGATTGACAGTAAACTGACAATGCAAACTAGCTATTGCAGGGAGCAGAATAGGTTAGTCTCTCTCGAGAATGCTTCAGAGGAGATTAATATGGTTATGTAATCTTGTGGGCTTCTTAGAGGCTCGCTAATCCACTCTCCTTTTCAAAACCAAAGCCAAGCCATTCTTCTGCCATCTTTGTCTCTGCCTCTCTAGGTCAGCCATTTAAACTGGACCCCAAATCTGCTCATAGAAAATTGAAAGTGTCTCATGATAACTTGACAGTGGAACGTGATGAAACATCCTCCAAAAAGAGTCACACACCAGAGCGGTGAGTAGCTGGCAACGTGTTCATTGACAGCGGGCGGCATTACTGGGAAGTGGTTATAAGTGGGAGTACGTGGTATGTATGTAAAAATATATGTGAAAAGAAACACTAGTTCACACCCTGCAGTTCCTGGCATAGTTTCTCTGACAGAGACCAGTAGCAGAGGCATGGGGAACAGTACAAGAGCAGGACAAGCATATACCTTCACATAGTTTGTCATACTATTTTCCCAATCTCCAGCACTTTTGGACCCTGGGACTAAATCTGCCAATAGAGCAGCTTTATATTTAGTGGCTTTCACAGGACTTTTACTCCATGGCTGGGGATGATTGTTTTTTGAACCCACATAGAGTATATTTTAAGATTTTAGTGAATTGGAGAGCTCAGAAAGTTTCATCTTGTTTATACAACAGAGCGAACTTTGTAAGTGTGATCATTTCTTTACTAAGGGTGAAGGATCTTGGTGTCCTTCAGTAAGAGAAAAAAATAAATATGAGGACAATTTGATGATCCAGTTTCACAGGGGTGGAGGTCAGATTTGCTTCTGGGGAGGGGGCATGGAGCAGCAGAGCTGTAGGTCTGTGCCCCAGGGTATGAAGCAAGGGGCAGGAAATGGAGAAGTGCATTCCTCCGCTCCTGAATGATCCTCTGTGTCATACAGGGGTGGATTTCAGGGGCCCTTTAGTCAGTGGAAGAGATGTCATCCTTTGGGATTCAAAGAGAACAATCTTTGATGGAGGTTAATGGAGTGGAAAAATCAGTAAGGTCTTCAGGTATGCCCACTGTCTCAAACAAGAAAAATGCTGTTTGCCTGTGCCAACGTTGAGGAATGGAAATAGAGTAACTTATGGCACATTAATCTCCATTGATTGAAAGCCCAACAAATACTGCAGTGTCTCTGGAACGTGAGGAACTTTTACATTTCTGTTATATATGAGAAATCAGGTATTTGCCCTCAGTGTCCATTAATGAGAACATTTTCACAATCCTTTTACCCGGCACATCTTGCCATAAATTATGGTTTGCAGAGCAAATGTCTTCACCTACAATTGCTTCACTTGGCCCAAGACCCAGTCTCAAAAATGCTCATTTGAATCTAAAAACCACACCAACATCTGGCAAAACATATTTGGGAATGGCAAAAATGTTTTTTTTTTTTTAGTATGTCCTTTGATGTTTACTCTTGCATTGCTTCTTCTGGGCTATATATTAAAGGAGAAAGGAGAGATCAGATTAGCTGACAGATAGCAGTGTACTTTAAAATCAATGAATTCCTCTGTATTCATCTGTTTGGAAGCGGGAATTTGAGGCCCAGTGATTTAAACTCTGAGTTGCCGAGTACTTAACAATCTTCCTTTTGAATACCAGAGGCAAGTGCTCCGAAAAATTATCATAGCAGCCAAACTGCAAACAATACAAGGGACAATAAAGTTTCCCTGACCTCTCAGACCCAAAAGAGAGATGGGGAAAACATTAATTAAGCCTGTGCAGATATTGCGGTGAAACGTCAATTAATTAGAACTTAACCAGCAGAAGTAAGAGGCTGGGGCATTCTAGTGAGTCCTCTGGGCTAACATTTGACTTCACTGAGAGAAAAACATGGCAGGAAGCATTTGTTTCCTTGAGTTGTTTTTTGTTTTGCAGGTATGCCATTGGTATTTCCTACAAGTCAGCGCCGAAGCACGAGTGGATCGGGAAGAATTCTGCCTCTTGGGTGCTTTGCCGCTGCAATAACACGTGGGTGGTGCGGCACAACAGCAAAGAAATCCCCATCGAGCCTGCGCCTCACCTCCGGCGGGTCGGGATTTTGCTGGACTACGACAACGGTTCCCTTGCTTTTTACGATGCTTTGAACTCCCTACACCTTTACACTTTTGACATTACATTTGGGCAGCCGGTGTGCCCCACGTTCACTGTGTGGAATAAGTGTTTGACCATTATAACTGGCTTGCCTATCCCTGACCACCTAGACTCCTCCGAGCAGCTGGCATGACTGCTAAAAGCCAAAAGGTAGGACGATGCGTCTTCCCAGGGCGGCCAGGCGGCTGCCCGCAGGAGCTTGCCCGGAGCTGGCGGACCGTGCGGCATCCCGGCCGTCACGGCCGAACCCAGCCAGAACTGAAAGGGGGACAATATCTCTTTACTGTGTACTTTGTATGGAAGGACAAAAAGTGGCTTTAATAATATCTTAGAACGTTCTTTTGAAGTTGTTTTTGTTTGGTTGGTTTTGTATTTAGTCTCTTACAGGAAGATTTATAAATTATTTATAAAAACAAAAAAAAAAGAGAGAGAGAAGGGAAAGTCTGGTTTGGACACCTGGAAAATGACTTACTTGTTTTGCACATTGATGGTCCTATTAATTAAAGTTTCATCAGCCCTTTACATAATTTTATTTTACAGTGGATAATAGCAAGAAATTGGAAGGATGAAAACTGTGCAGTGGACAAGTCGGTATACTGCAGGTTTTATTCGTGCCAATATTAGCGCTCTCATTACCAGTCTCATTGAGTGCAAGATCTCCTAATTTCTACTTTGCACATGGGAAGGTGCAGACCAAAAAGAACAAAAATAAACAAGTGAGGAAGTGCAGCTAGCCAACACAGCAAAAGAAGAAATTTTAATTTACTTCTGTTCACAGGGCAGTGCTTTCTCTGTTCATAAAAAAACATGGAATATGTCCTAGAAATGTGAGTGGATAAATCATCTGGCAATTTATTTTATTGATGGCAACATTCCCATCTACCGGTGCTTCGCCTTCGTCTTTGGGAAACATTGTAGAATCACTGAGCGTGTGAAAGACTGATACCCTCTCTGAGAATCAGCAACGCTGGAGGAAAGCAGCCAATCCAAGGTCTGACTGTAGACTAATTTGGTAACGCACGGCATCATTTAAGGATTGATTGTAATAGAAGATGTCATGGTTCTGATGGTAGACATGTGAATGCTTATTGCTGATTTTACAGGGTTCAACATAGCAAGCCCAGCCAACAACTCGGAAGTGAGACATGCGCCACTTTGCCATTGATTTTAAATTAAATACAAATGTTTCATTGTTGTACACTATGTAGTCTCTATAACAAAGCAAGGAAATCTGTTTTACATGTGCTGTATGGAGAAACACTGCAGCTGGGGTTTGCTCATAGTTATCATTGTCCTGGGTTGTTTGGGAAAGCACAGTTCTCTTTGTGAACGGGGAGTAAATAACAAGTTTTCAGCAGCAGTAGGAATCTGCATGGGCAGGCCCTACGTTCACCCTGGTGCTGGTGGATGAACTTCAGTGAAGGCAGTAGAGGTTGTACCTACTTTATCTCAAAGCTGAATCAGGTGCATTTTTTTTTCTCTTTTCCTTCTACAGAATAGAAGCCCTTTGTAATTACTACGATGCTTATGTATAAATGACCATTTTGGGAGATGCTTGAGGCATATGACAACTTTAAAAGAATGGTTTTCCTACAGTGTTTTGTTGTTACTATGCAAGCGGTGAAAATCTGCCTGTGTAGAAAGAGGATAAATTGAATACCAGCTTTAAGAAAAGATTTGCTCAGTAATTTATAACCATGCTTTACGTGTCTTTGGAAAAGGATGCCTTAATGCACTTTGTTCACTAATGGGTCCCAGCTAAAACTATCCCAAGCTCAGCTTCAGATTTTTAAAATACTGATTCTTCAGGTACCAAGCTGTACTACAGTTTGCCTTATGATGATGTAGAATACTTTTGAGCAAGATGAGGAATACATACATGCCTATTTGTTTTTTTCTTTTTTTTTAATAGAAAATAAATGCCTATCCATGTTCCTTTGATTTCCCTTTACATGCCCTGCTAAATGCTAATTAAATGGAGGAAAGTCTGACAGTACGTTGCTGGTACCATGGCTTTCAGCTGGGGCAGCATCCCATGGTTCACAAGTAGTAGCCACTGATCTTTCCAGAGTTGACATAAGTAAGTGAAAATGTGTACCTATAGTGAACTGCAGTGTTTGTCATAGTGTCTTTAAAAATAAAGAAACGTATACCCTCAAAAATGAAAAAATAAACAAATCCCCAAACATTACATTTTATAATTGATCACAATGCCACTAATACAATCTGAGGTACGTTGCCGAGATCTGGCCTGGGATGTTTGGAAGGTAGCTGAGATGGCATGAAAATTATTATAATGAGTTTACAGGAGATGACTGATGCAAAACAGTGATAAGAAGATGCAGGAGGAAAGGAGTTTTAATGTAGGATTATTGCCAAGTTTCTGCCTAAAAGGAAAGAGTATATTACCAAAGTACATGTAACAAGGCTGTGTATCTTCTCTTTTGCCAGAAATATTAAATCTAGAAGCTGACTTCAGTGGTGGACAAACTGAAAACACTGTTCAGTGTTTGGCCATACAATGTTGGCAGAGATTGAGCTGGTGGAAGTAATATCATAAGTTTGGAAAGATCCCCAGTGATCTCACATATTTTCATTGTAAAGATAGACCGTGAGTCTAAAGACAGATCATGGTTTTGGCCAATAGAAAAAGAATGGTCTGTAATCTATAGGCCTTGCTGTATCATTTTTATTTTAACACAGAATACTTCATTTGGAGCTAAGCCACATTTCTCCAGTGGACTATTCGTTCAGTCAGCACTCTTTGTGCATGTATGTTTGTGTATATATGTATACATATGTATGGGTACAGACACACCAGTATATGCACAAGTATAGTGGGTCATTTGTGTATATGCATACATACATATATACACACACAGACTGACAGTAATTAGCCAGGTGTTCCTTTTTTGCTTGTTTCTTGAACGATTTCATATTCTGTATGACTATGAGGAAACAAGTTTGCTATGAATGGTATTCTTCTGGACATTTTTTAATGAACAAAATCTGTTTATTTTACAATACTTGATTCAATGCCTGATTAATCAATAAAAACATCCATTTGAAAATGTAGCTTCTGTGGTCTGTGGCATTTTGCATGGTCCATAGTAATCAGTTAAATTCTGGGGGAATGGTAATCCTCGTGTAAAAATAAAACTGGTACTTTAATGTAGCGTGCAGTCTTAGATGAGGGGTTTTCCCTGATTTTTGAAAGTTTTGTGACTAGGAATGGAGTAGCATTGAATAATGCCATGTTTAACAAAGGCAGATTTTTGAGGTGATAGTCTGCTGAGATGCAAGCAATGAAAGTAGTAGATAAAGCCTGTGTTGGTTAAAATGATTGTTTCAAAGGTGTATTTAAAACCCAAGTTGGGATTCAGCAGAGTTAGAGCAAACTGTAGCACAATCTCTTTAGAGGACAGTAGCATTGGCTCAGAATAATCAAAGCTCTTGTCGAGCTTGAGGTAGTGGAACAGTGGGGGACTTTTTTCTTTCTGAGGCCAGATAAGATTTTCCGTGTGTTAGGCTCCTATGTGTTAATGCACGCCTAATGGGGAAAAAGTCTTTCAGGAATGTGCTGTATGTCATAAATTATTTAGTAGACTGTCTCCAGCCCATTGTAGTTTCCCATTGTTGGCTTTCAGAGAGCAATGAGAGAGCTGAAGTTGCTGCATTTTCTGCCATGAGTATATTCTTTGTCTGTTTTGGGTATCCCGTTTCTCAACTGTTCAGCCAAGAGACCCGCACTGAGCAGTGGGTCCCAAGGTAGAAAGCATAAAAATCCCTCACGTGTGGATACACTGTGAAAAGCTGGAAATGGGCAAGTACGGGTGAAGACACATGCATGTTCTTTGTTGTATTAGCAATAGTAGGTCACTAAACAGCAGTGTGCATCATCTGTTTTAATCCTGCATCTTAATTGCAAAGACTATGTTCTTTTCTTGTTAGAATATGCAACAGGACACTATTGAGACCACAAATTAAAGTGTCAGCTATTTAACCATTTATAGCACTGTGAAAAACTATTGGCTGTGGGAGATTTCATTAAACTATTATTTGACATCGAACACAGTATAACTATTTCTTTCTTAATTATTCTGATAAAGCTGATGCCTAGTCCTTCCCAGATTCTGCTTCTAGTTACAACAGCACAAATTCCAGATAAGCCCATGAACCAAAACAAATTGAGAACTGCTAGTGGCTCTTATCTGTGTTACCAAAAGTGAGGCTATTCACCTTAACTGGAAACACTGTCTTCATTTCTGGTTTAGGAGCGAAGAAGTGTTGGATCCACACAGAAAGTACACGCTGGGCCATCTCAGTAACTGGCCAGGGCACACCTGGGCTGAAGGCCATTGGTGGGGCAGCTTTGGGAAGCTAGTGATAAGCAAAAAGCATGCACAGGTTGCTCATGTAGTGATGTACTGGCAATTTTCCTGTAACACTATCTCTACTGTCTTTTCACATACTGATCTTTCCAGTAGTGGACGTGTGTATTAAGATATAGGAATGTAAAATGCAGTCTTTTCCTGTGTTCCTGGGTTGGTTGCCCCTTTAGAAATTAGCATCTTCAGCATAGTGTTCTGAACTTCAGCCTTAATCTTTGTCTTCTCCACATGGAGAAAAGCCCTGGTCACTCCCAAGTGCTGATAGTGGGTGTTCCAGACTATGCTATTTGTTTTTATTGTGCTTTCTGAAATGAAAGAAACTCTCTTTACATTTTAACCTTTGATTTAGGACTTGATTTTCATATAAAAAACTTAAGAGACTAAAGAGCGATGATGTTAACAATGCTTCAATACGGATGAGACTGTTGGTTTGGACTGTGAGGCTTAAGGCATCTGTGTACATAAATCTCTGTGCCAGCATAGACTGATTTGTCATTCATGTGGGAGTTGAACAGTACAGTGTAAGTGTTTTCTTCTGAGGTAGGCTTTTGTATTAACTCCGCTCTTGGAGTGGAATACTCTGGTTCTTTAATTTTTTTAATTGGTTTTCTGATTCGAGTGCAGACCATGTTAGTAAGACTGTAAGTAATACAATCTTTCATCATGTTACTTATTTTAGCAAGCCCTACCGTGTAACGGCCTCTGGCAGGTCGCTGAACACATCAGCTGCAGCCATAACCTTTGCAACATCACCTCCAATGTGTGGACTGATGTTTAAGCCATTGACCAAGTATATAACTTTCCCAGGTGGGATTCATCTTGCTTTGAGTAAGGAACTGTAGCACAAATGGTGATACCAGTTCAAGGTGAGAGGCTCATATATTTCACAGAGATGATATAGGAAAGATGTGGGCTTGAATACTATCAGCATTGAGGCAGTTCTGGTTTAGAAGCATGCCAATGTATTAGGAAGGCACCAAGTCTTCTACTACAATGTGATCA